AGCACCTCTGCCTTGCTCTGCCCTGCTCTGTCCTGCTCTGTCCTGCTCTGTCCTGCTCTGCTCTGCTCTGTCCTGCTCTGCTCTGCTCTGCCCTGCCCTGCTCTGCTCTGTCCTGCTCTGTCCTGCTCTGCCCTGATCTGCCCTGCTCTGCCTGCAGCTGCTCAAATGTGTCATTGGGTTCCTTCTCCCCTCGCTGCATTTTTAGGATCCTTTTGCAGATGTCAGTGCAGACTACAAAGAAGAGCTCACCCCAGAGCTTGCCAAGCTCCTGCACACCTTCCTGGTCCACTCCAGGCTGGAAACCTTCCTGCAGGAGCTCCATGAAATGATCATCCTGAAGCTGAGGCGTGTCCAAGCCGTGGAGGAGTTCAGACCCAAGTGGAGGTAGGAGTTACACACCCAAAGCCACCACAGTTGTTAACTGAAGTTTCTCTGCCTCTGAGCGTGCACACAGTGGGAGCAGCTCCTTTGGCTCCTGCCTGTCCTGAGGGCCACGGCCCAGCCAGCAGCATCAGGAATAGCCACACTCATTTCTGGCAGGTGTCACTTCCACCTCACACAGGCACTCTTGGGGACACTGCTGGAACACACCAGGAGCTGCTGTCCAGGCCACAAACACAAGCACTGCTGCAGGCACTTGAATAAAATAATAAAACAGAATCACAAAATCATTAAGGTTGGATAAAACCTCCCTGATCATCAAGCCCAGCCTTCAGGGCTGGACACACTCAGCTCTGCAGAGGCACAGCTCATCCCCAGAGCTGTGCCTGTGGCTCCAGCTGGCTGTTTGAACCCTGCTTGCTGCACATACACCTGTTCAATTGTGGATATCGACTTTGGGTGCTCAGTGCACTCCTCTTGTGGCACTTGTGCTTTGCTGGGGCCCAGCTGTTAATGCTGTTCTCTTGTCTTCCAGCCTGAAGGAATCACTCTTGCCTTACCTTTATGCCAAAGACTCAGAATTAGCGCTGGAGCTGGAAGACACATTCCCAGATGGGATTCTTCTGTCTCATGCCACTGGGACCTGGAAAGCAGCTGCTCTCTTCAAGCGGGAGCACAGGGAGAGTTAGGGCAGGACCCTGCCAGGGAATGCCACAACGGCTTCCAGAACTTTGGGCATTTTGTTTGGGGCTTGTTGCTTGTTCTTTGGGTTTGGGGTTGTTGTTTTGACACCTGTTGTGAAGAGGAGAGGGGGCTGTGGAGCAGGACAGTGAAACAGGCCCAACAACTCCGTTGTGAACCCTGGATCCTCACAGCCCCAGAGCCACTGGAGGAACATGAAGGACTTTTTTTACAAACCGTGGTGCTGGGGCAGGGCTGTTTCGGGCAGCCTTTCTGTGGGCACGGGGCTGGCAGCACCGCCTCCGGCCCGGCACCTCCCGCTCGGCGGCCCCGGGAGCAGCGAGCCCTGGCGGCCGGGGCTCCTTCCCTGCCTTAATCCAGCTCCCTTCTCCCTCTCCCCTTCCCAATAAACTCAGTTCAGCTCCCGCTCGCTCCCGGCTCCTTCCGCGCCCTCAGCCGGGACCGCAGCGCCGGCCCGGAAC